ATAAGCATATCTTACCTATATGCATGCGATATTTTGATGCGTTTCGCTTGCCCCGCCGCGGTGGTCTAGTGGCTAATGTACTCGGCTGCCGACCCGCAGGTCGCGGACTCGAGCCCCGGCTGCAGCGGCTGCATTTCCGATGGAGGCGGAAATGTTGTAGGCCCGTGTGCTCAGATTTGGGTGCACGTTAAAGAATTCCAGGTGGTCGAAATTTCCGGAGCCCTCCACTACGGCGTCTCTCATAATCATATGGTGGTTTTGGGACGTTAAACCCCACATATCAATCGATGCGTTCCCCTTGATGCATCGGCGGAAAAATGGTGACGGTGCCCAGCTGCTCACCCGAAGGTTGCGGGTTCAATACCGGCCGTGCCGGTCGCATTTCGACGGGGGCGAAAAGCCATAGTGACGTGTACTTCGCCATGTCAGTGCATGGATGTTAAAGAGCACCAAACCGGTGAAATCTCCTTAGTCTCCACTGTGACTTGGCTTATAAGTGTAACGTTAATATGGGTCCGTGAAATTCCGGATATTGTTGTTATTATTATAATCATTATTATCTTTCGCTGTTCTTCTGTTCTCCAAAAAGTCACGTAATGGAGCAGCAGATAGGCAAAAGTTTCGGAATGCACTCCGTTTAACTTGTAATTTATCAATCATTGTATGTGTGTGATTTTCGGTTAGCTATTCGTCACGCAAAGAGGTGTACGTAACCGAGCCGGCACCAGTAAACGACACCATGATTTGCTGTGAAACATACCAATAAATAGTTGCTCGATCAAATGGCTGTCTTTGATTTTATGAAGCTTCTCATCTCGGAAGAATTCGTATTATTCGTCATCTAAAAATTTTCATTCATAGGAATTTCGTATGAATTTCTTATCTAGCTTTGCTAGCTATGCGGGAGGAGTTTAAATACTTAACTTTGAGTCCATGCCTTTGCACAAATATTGTTCCATTTTGTGTTCGCGCTGACACACGGCGTTTATTCTTTTTTTTTCTCCTTAAATGCATTCGTTTCCCACTTCTTTGTAATACATGGGGGTCGAATTCACAAGGCCCAATACGCGTTTATAAAGAAGTTCGGTATTGGCTACGTGTATTCGCAAATAGTAGGTTAAGCTCAAAGTTTGGCTGATAATTTTATATTACGAACAATCCTAACGGATGAGAGGGTTTTGTGTGGACTCGTGTCGACGGTGACGTTTACGAGATAACGCAAATATTCTTTGTCACATTATCTATGTGTATACGTCGTCGCCTGCGAAGGTCGGAGTAACGAAAACTGTTTGAGGGTGTTGTTTCTAGCATATCGCGTATGCAAGTTCCATTGCCGTCAAGGAAGAAGGGCACTCCCTCTGTCGGCGTAAGGAGGATTGAAGTGCCAGGGGAACCGCGCAGCAGTAGTAGTAGAAAGTTTGTTTGTTTTGCTTGTGAAGTCACATGTAGAATGTATATATAGGACCCTGAGGTTAGAGCCCTACTTGCTGAATCCACCCAGCTCGCCCAGAGAGCGGGGGATCTATACACTAGCGATGATAGTGTAGAGGAGCATGCATTTTGGGCAATTACATTACGTTCAGGTACATCGCGACATTGGTGTTGGACTTGAGCTCACGTTTTATGGTGTGCTGGTGATGTGGACAATGCGTTGTTGGTTATAGAAATGCTGAAACACGTAAGCCTATGGGTGTTTGTAATCACTGGTTAAAAAGAAGCGCGGGGTACATCCCCATCTCGAGTTCCCTTGAAAACATCACACCTTCCGAATGTATACCTGAAGAACCAGCTATAGATGCAGTTAATGGAGTCGCTAAGGTTAGCCCATTTAGATATATGAACTTGCGTATGTATACAAACATTTATTATTTCAAAGACGATAGCCTTTCTTGATGACCTTCGATGCAAAAATTTTGGTCTGTCTGTCTTTACATTTGCCTGTTTGTCTGCCCTTGACAGTTCCCTAAACGGCACCAAAGTAGCCAAACGATACTCCAAACAGCCGGCCCCATCTGCAGCGCCCACCAATATTGCTCAAGATTCAGCGTTCATACTTGTGTGATTGTCACTTAAAAAGCAATTATTCCGCATATCTGAGGCACCATAACAACACGTCAATATTCTGTATGTGTGTCACTTACTAGAAAAAGCATACATACGTAATTATAAGGACCATAGTGCTTATCGCGTTGCGCTGACCAGGCAACGCTTGCACGAAAAGGCAAGTGTTTCCAACGCTTTGCTAAGACGACACGGTCGTGGCACCTATCCGTCGCCTTGCGTTTCTTATCACCTCCGAGAGGAGCGCGCAATGCACGCGCGCTTTGTTTTCCAAGATAACTGCCAGGTAGCGCTCATTTCTCACGTGTGACGTGACTCGATGCGTTCGTTTACCTCCGCTGCACGCTCGAGGCACTTTATCGCAGCGCTTTCGGAATACCATTCACCGATTTTCTTGCGCAGCACATCAAATAAACGTTTTGTTCACTTTCTCCAGACGCAAGGCCATCGTCTTTCGACGACATTTTCAGTGTTCATACAGATACGGTGCCAATGTTTTATTGAGAGTTCGAAATGTGAACAAATATTTTATATGGCTCTTCGACGTGGGCGACAGCATTCACACAGAAGAACATTGTCAATATATAGGACACAGTCGATACCAACACAAGTGCGATTGCCACATTTACTGATGTTCTTCTATATGTCACAAATATGCTTGCTTTCTTTGAAATTATACACGGGTGGACCATGCTCCGCTATGAACGTTCGACGGTTATTCTGTTTATGCATTGAGCTCATTAAAAAAAATCACACGTGATACAAGAGCGCCATCTGGCAGTTTTATTTGGAAAACAAAGCGCGTGACCCAGAGACGGGAGTGCGTGCCCGTCTCAGAGGTGATAAGGTGTAGAACACAAGGCGACGGGTAGGTGCCACCACCGTGTCGTCTTAGCAAAGCGTTGGAAACACTCGCTTCTTCGTGCAAGCGTTACATGATCAGCGCATCGTGATACGCATTACGGTCCTTAGAATTACTTATGTATGCCTTTTCTAGTAAAAGATGAGCATGCAGAATATATACGTGTTGTTATGGTGCCTCAAACATGCGCAATAATTGCTTTTTAATTGACAATCGCACACTTATGAACGCTGATGCTTGAGCAACATTGGTGGGCGCTGCGGATGGGTTTGGCTGTGCGGGGTGTATCGGCTTTTGCTGTTTACAGTCTCCAGTTCGCGGTAACGGTGGACGAACAGACAAATGTACAGAGAGACAGACCAAAGTTTTTGTGTCGAAGATCCCCAAGGAAGACTATCGTCTTTAAAAGTAACGTTAGGGAGTGTGAAGCGCGGAGAGCCCTTTGCGCTTTTTTACGTTTATATATGACGCCCTTTTCAGACACTCAACTCAATATCTCATAGTCTTTTCTTACGCGGTCTCTTCTTTTTACATGACCAAAGAGAAAGGTGTCATGTCACATTCGATACCTAGGAAAGGCTTCGCATTAAGTAACGATTTGTTTCATTGCATGTGTTCATAGAAAAAAAAAGGCTTCCTTTTATTCAAACCGATCAATCTGATGGAGTATGGAATGCCCAAAGAACCAAAACGACAGTCGCAGTTTCTTCCAAAAAAGCTAATAAACCTGGAACCAGGCACACTAGGGTGAACGAATGAATGAACACTCGCTCACTGGTTTCCTTGCCGATCGGTTGTGCCCTCGTGATTTCCGACGTCAGCGTAGCTCTGGCCGACTAGGCTGGCCCTGCGTCATCTCCTGACGACGACCTCCGACGACAGCGTAGCTCTGACCTACTGGACTTGCCCTACGCCATCTCCTGACGCCGACAAGAGCTCTCGCAAGTGGTGCCCCGTCCTCGGACTCCTGTGACCATCTTTCCTATCTCCCATATCCCCTTGATATGTCCTCGCTCGCTGACTTAGCATATCTTTCTCTCTATATACACCTTTAATCCTACCCTTTTAATCCCTCCTCACCCCCATCCCTTGCGAGCAACTGTTGAGGTATCGCACCTTGATGCAGACAGTTACGGGGCTCACTTTTCTCTTCCTTTCTCTCTTAGAACCACTTTGAACGAATGAACTATAGTAAAACGGTAAAGGCAAGTTGTCGAATCAAACTCCGAGGCGGTTCTGGAACTGAAAGTGGTCATTGCCGAAGTGCGACCAAAGTGAGAGCTTTCTTGCGGCCGACCGAGATAGTGCTGAAGGAGCCACGACCAGAAAGAATAATAAATAAAAAGAAAACGAGAGCAAGGAACAGCGAGAGCACTTAGACACCGGTGGAGGGTGGTAGGAGGCTGGCGGCTGCGGGGCGCAAGGAATGAAGCACGCACCGCCCGCCAACGACCGGTAGCTACCGAGGAAGCGCGTCGGGCTAGCGCAGCAGCAGCGGCGACCGCGTTCTCCGCCGTCGCTACTGTCGGTGAGGGAAGCGGCCTCCCAGTGCGGCCGAGAGCCGGCCTCTCCGGCTCCGGCGGCCGCCCGCGCGCCCCGACCGCTCCTCCTCCGGGCGAGCTTCCCCGCCAACCAGCGCGGTTTTGCACGTCAGCCCCCTCGCGCGCGCGCGCCCGCTGCGGCAAGCCTTGCACACCCACACGCGCCTCACGCACGCACAACGCAACAGGCGCTCGCGCAGCCGCCGCTTCCAACGCTGCCCGCACCGCGGCGCGCTCCATTTCTCCTCTCCCTTTTCTCTTACTTCCAGCCGGAGGTGATGGAGAAAGAGGGAGGATGTGAGGTGGGCGCTTACTTTTCTCGCTTGTTTTCCCCGCAAAGAAGGAGAGACGTTAGCGGCGTGGTGGGCAAGAGAGGTCGAGGGTGGCCGCGAAGAGGAGGACGACGCTGGCGGGGAGGCGCGCAGTGTGAGAGGTAAGGGAGGAGGAGGAAGCCGAGGCGGTGCGGCGGCGGTGCGGTCTGGCAGACGGCCGATTCGGGCAGAGCCCGCAAACCTCAGAAGGGCGGCGAGTGCGCGTGCGCGTGCGCTGGGCCAGGCAGCGTTCAATGCATCTGCCGGCAGCCGACCAGGGCAGCAAGCAGCAGCCGCCGCGTGAACAGCACACGACGCACCGCGAGCCGTCCTCGCAGCGGCGTCGCAGCAGGATGGCCGAAATGGTGCTGCCCGGCGAACGGGCCCTCACCCAGGTGCTGGCCGAGCACCCGGGCGAACTGATGCGCACGGGAAGCCCGAACATGGTGTGCTCGGTGCTTCCCAGTCACTGGCGATCCAACAAGACGCTGCCGGTGGCGTTCAAGGTGGTCACCCTCGGGGACGTTTGCGACGGGACCCTGGTCACGCTGCGTGCGGGAAACGATGAGAACTACTGCGCCGAACTGAGGAACGCTTCGGCCGTTGTCAAGAACCAAGTGGCCAAGTTTAACGACCTCAGGTTCGTCGGCAGGAGTGGAAGAGGTGAGTCCTGGTGCTTCGTTGATCTCTTCCCCGGTCGTCCCCCTATGGACGTGCAATGTTCGGCGACAACGTGCGCGAAAAAGCGAACAAGAAGCTTGGTGACGTATAGCCAGGTAGTGTGGTCGGTGATGATGCGATGACAACAAGCGTGGACGTAACATCCCATAGGCCTGGTACAGTTTAACTTTTATGCTGCTGGCAAGTACCTCTTTACCCGGTCATGTGGTCGACCATAGTGTCATTATGTTCGAAAAAAGAGTGGCGGCGTCAAATGCTTCGTCGTTAAATTTCTGTTTACACCGTTCCACTTCTTGTAGTTTAGGATGTCGCAGATGTCATCACTATCAATAAATCCTAAAACGTCGGCTTAGATAGCACACACGCTATTCGACGCCATGCTCTTTGCCGCATTACATGCTTTGCCACAGTGTACGCCGATGCGTTCAATACTTGCATGTACTTTTGCACACGATACTCGCATATAGGAACTCGCATAATGCCCAGTAAACGTTTCCTAGTATAACGTTTAACCCGTTTAACTGATTAGATAGCTTGGGCTAGTATTTTTCTTCTTTTTCGTTCTTTAGACGAGTGTTGCGCGCTCCCAAGGTAAATTTAGGAGACGCAACCGCGCACACAATATCATAGTATTTATCACCGCAGGATACACACTTTCTGCACGAAGATTGCAGCGACATGCATGTGTTTCATTTTACACTTTGATAAACGCATGGTAAGCCGCAGACGTGTGGTTAAAGTCGAAATACTGAAAACGCGTCCTTCTAGATTAATAACTGCAGCGTTAGCTTATATAACTCGTTGTTGTACCACAGCGTGCTCAAATGCCAGCATCACATAATTCTTTTTGACGTGTTTGCTGACAAGCGCGCTCATTGCAAAGCGATTGGGTCCTCCATGGCATCTTTCGTGACGTTCCTCCTGCTCGCGATCAAGCGAGCGAATTGGCGCTGAATTTTTCGCACTCATCTTGTGGGTAAAACTGAGATGAACTTTAGGGTTGCCAAGCGCTGACTCGATGTTTTGGGCATTTTCTGCTGTGTTGGAACTTAAATTCTGTAAATATCGAAAAACTGGTCTCCTAGCTGTTAAAAGGGGTTGCTCCGCGCGCTTTAAATGAAGTATCTAGCGCCGGGACTTAGCCGATCCCATGAAGGAGTATTGATGCGTGCGTGCTTCGGCATTTATCGGTTCGCTAAAACACGCTTCAGTGCGCACCATGATAGCCATCGTATGGTTTTCTTGTTGTCGTTGTTTTTTTTTTTGTTTTTTTTTCTTGTTTTTGACAAATCTGATTCAGTGCCATGTTAAGCTGCAGTGTCGACTTGCACTTTGTAGCTGAAGCTGCTTTTAATTATGGTAGACTTTGTAGAGCTTGAGGATCGGTAAACAAAGAAACTTACTTTCAATGTTTGCTAATTAACCAATACGACTCAAATTCTTTTTTAGTCTGTTTGTTTGTTTTGTTAAAAGGACACTATAAGCGAAACAATGAGTTGTTTTAGATTAATAAACTGCACTCTGAGAACTATATGATTTCATGACGTATGTCATACTGTCATAGGTTCATTATTAGCGAAGAAAATCAAGGTTGAAGTTTAATTTCTAAATTTCGCGCCGTAATCTCCGCGTGCGACGTAAGAAATTCCAGAATGTATTTTTCGTATTTTGGCGACATTGGCTCGATTAAATTTTCTAAGACTTCGTATGCTAAGCCTATGGCACCCACAGATTACAATGTACTTCAATTTTATCGATTAGAAGCTACGTAGGACCCAGTACGCCTTCAATAATTGATGACGTCACAGTGTTCGGCGCGGGAATCTCAAGGTGGCGTCTCCATCCACATTTCGTTTTCGCGCGTTTTCCGGCTTACCAAGTGCCGTGTCGAAGTAATAGTGGTGTTTGCGGGATTGTGAAATTTTACTTTACTATTACGCGAAATAGCGTTTTGCTCTTTAGTGTCCCTTTAATTCAGTGCACGCGCCGTTCAGGGCGGCACGTTTACTAGATGACTTCGCTGTGGCAATGACTCAGATGAAATTGTCATCCCAGCACGTGTATTCTCAGATGGTAATTATGTGTGCACGGTATGCCTCTTCGCGTTCGTCAATGGATTAAGATTACAATGCGTATATTTTTAAGATTGTGATTACAGATTCATATGCATGTATAGTATAACAATGTGTGCCATCAACGGAAGGTATAACACCACGCATGGTGTACATAAAACTTCAGAAAAAAATAAACTCTGCACCTGAGCGAAAAGCAAGTTCGTTAATAGCTTTTCGGCTTTGAAGATATAAATATGTACTGCAGTGTGGATTCATTTAATGAAAATAGGGAGGCGTTGAGTACCACATCGTTATTCGAAATCAATTGAATACTAAGTAAACTTTATTTACACCAAATACTGCCACTTCATAACTGCCGGAAGGTGAGGTCTGCCAGTATAAAGGCTGAGAAGCAATTAGTTGGCTGGGTATTCTTCTTGCGTTGATTGCCACCTGGCTTAAACGTATGCACACATAAATAAAAACAGCGAGTAGAGATTGTACTAGTCGAACTGTGCAGTTTTCGGAGTGGCTTTATAATGTGAAATCCTACAGTATACGTATACAATCTCATGTGTTTATGATCACATGTATCATGCACCGTGTTGTGAAAGGCATATTTCTGCGAACTTTTTCCAAGTTCTTATTGACATTTTCAAACATTGTTGGAAGAAATGCAACGGTACCTATACTTTTGCCGAATCCAAAGTTTCCTGTATACTATACTCGCAAGGAAAATACCGACAGATAGTATACCATCAAAAAGCATGCAGGAGACAGATTCCATAGGCGGGCAATTGTACTTTCTTCATTTGCGGTTACATGATGTATTAAAAAGAAGCAATGCTGTACTGTTGTTGACTACAGCCTTCTTACCCTGTCGTTATGTGATCTACGTAAACGTATATAGACTAAGGCACATAGAACATTTATCTAACAACCGTATATGCAGTATTGTAGACGCAGTTCGTTAGTACTTAGATTTTCAAAGAAAATACTAAGTCAATATAATAATATCACTCAGGAGAATGAACGTGATTGCAATAGATACGATCGTCCATTACACCTCATCAACTCCAGCTGAAGACCATCGTATTTGTGGAGTAAAAAATACTTCCGTTCGGAATACTTCTTTCCAAACTAATCTGTGGCAAACTCGGGAAGCCCCGCCGCGGTGGTCTAGTGGCTAAGGTTCTCGGCTGCTGACCCGCAGGTCGCGGGTTCAAATCCCGGCTGCGGCGGCTGCATTTCCGATGGAGGCGGAAATGTTGTAGGCCCGTGTGCTCAGATTTGGGTGCACGTTAAAAAACCCCAGGTGGTCGAAATTTCCGGAGCCCTCCACTACGGCGTCTCTCATAATCATATGGTGGTTTTGGGACGTTAAACCCCACATATCTATCAAACTCGGGAAATTCTGCTCGTTCGAGATTATACGCTTAGTTAAAGCTTTTGAAATCTTCGAAACGAACACCACATGCCTCAGTCAACATTGATTTCAAGAGTATTCGTCGTTTCCTACTCACATTGATACGATGAACAATGTTACCTCATTCAGTGCTAAAGTGCCTCTCATTAAAAGCTTAATTAAACTTTTGAATTGCTTCGTCGCGCGTGAGGTTCAGGTGCAGACCCATGTACTAAAGGAGTGCTGATATCTTTTGCCTCCCTCAAATATACAACTTGACAACTTGCTAAGAGTTATGACAAACTAGTCTTTCGTTGATATAGGTGTATAGAAGCTGTCATGGCGGACGGATACCGCACATCGGTCAAAGCAAAACGGCTGACGCACTTCAGTCTAAACTACAATCGCGCGCCTCATTGGACTAGCGATAAGCCGTTTTATGCAGGTATAGAAGGTCTACACACATCATCGGCAATCACACTTCATCACACGTGATCGAGCTGTTTGCGGTGTATGCGATGCAAGGTCTTCCAGTAAAGTGTGACGACAAGGTTGCGTCGACAATGATATATACGCGTTTAAAGACCGCGTTTATACGCATATAGGGTGATCGCGTATGCTCTCTGCCGCAGAACATGAGCCGATATAGTCACTGCGAAGTTATAACACTGGGGCTAATGCACATAGTGTTGAAGGGCCCCTGAACCACACGGAGTTCAAGACGACGGAGTGGTTTTCTTTCTAGCTTTCAGTATACCCTTCCGCAGACGATATCTGCTCCTCGCCGCTTATTTGTTCCAAAAGCACGTGGACAGTATGCGGTGGACACTAAGCGGCGAGCCTGTGAGGATTTTGTGCATTTTGGCTATATTTTATTCATTTATTTAATAATACTGTCAACCCTCGCTTGAGGGTCATAACAGGGAGGGAGTACAATATGAGTATAAACAGAACACCTAAAAAAACCACTAAGCAATAAACACAGGAAAACAGAATGGGCAGTACTTCAACCATTACCAAAATAAGCATCAATTTCTCTGTCAAAAGTTTGTACATCGGTACTATTAATAACATGTTGGGGTAAAGAATTCCATTGTTCTATAGCATCCGGGAAAAATGACCACCGAAAGATGTCAGTGCGAGCGCTGAAAGGTTCAATGGGGGCATCATGATTCAATCTAGTGCTACGTTTTCCGGGAAGGCGTATGTACTCGTCTTTAGGTATTTTGAATATCCCTTGGATTATACGAAATAATGTTTTAAGTTTTTGTTTCCGTCTAGAAATTTCCAGTGATTCTAAATATACACTGCTCTCGCCGGTCACGCAGGTAAAAACTCAATAAACGAAGTAAAATCGTTTGATCACTCGCGACATTGATCTCAGTTAAGGCAGAATGGGAGTGCGACTGCACGGCTAAAAAAATAGGGTAGGAGGAAGTTAACCACCGATGTACGTCTCTCATATATGGACCAATAGAGAGCTTGTTTCGTTGTGACGTCACGTGAACAGTGCAGCGGCGTCA